GACCTCTTACCTTGGTAGTAATGTTTTCCCAGGACAGACCATGTGCCAGTTTGTACTATAATAGACCTCTTGCCTTGGTAGTAATGTTTTCCCAGAACAGACCATGTGTCAGTGTGTACGATAATAGGGACTCTTACCTTGGTAGTAATGTTTTCCCAGAACAGACCATGTGTCAGTTTGTACTATAATAGACCTCTTACCTTGGTAGTAATGTTTTCCCAGGACAGACCATGTGTCAGTTTGTACTATAATAGACCTCTTACCTTGGTGGTAATGTTTCCAAGAACAGTAATGTTTTCCAAGAACAGACCATGTGTCATTCCCTAGAGTATCATTTCTTTGCTTAAAGGTTGTGCAAGAGAAGACACATGGATGTGGATACAACTCAAACAAAGAATATTATTCTCAAGAGAATGGCACGTGGTCTGAAATGAGAAAACATTACGCCCAAGATAAAGAGGTCTGATTCCGTACCTTACGTACCTTAACTCATGTTCCAGGTTCGATTTGTTTGCGTCGTCTATTTTGTTCATCTTGTATCTCGGTCTCTTGATCATCACACGAATGGCGATGCACAGAATGATGAAGTTAACCTACGGTCAAGATCAAAAGAAARGTAGGTTAGCATTTCGGGGTTCCTTTGTTGAACCCTTTTGTCGACCACCAAACCTAAAAAAAGGACTTTTTGTGGGTGCGTTGGGTTGTAACATTTTGATGAACGATACAGAAAATTTGCAGGAATGCTGTAGTCCTACTGTATCCCTACGTATATTGRGGGTTTGCATGAAAATCATATTACGGCACGTCGTATCGTGTGCGTGCTGCAAGTCAGTACCGTACGCTTCATAGAAAATCACTTCAGCAAATACTTTGAGCTACAGGTTCTTGGRTTTCCCCCTGGCCACGTCCCTATGTCATTATTTGATATATTCTGACTTACAAAARTGATGAAGGCGACAGGTCCAGCGAACACCCAGATAAATCTTTGAGAAATCCAACAGCTGAAAAATAATACTAGAATTAGACAACTGACAGATAACACTATTGAATCAGAAACGGTTACTACTGATTTCAGTTTAATTTTTTTCGTACGTTTCTAGTGATCAAAACAATAAACGGAAAGAGCGCGCGCAAGTGGATAAAGCGCGGGAAAAGGGCGAAGTAAGGCGAAATTTAAACTGCATCCGGTTATTAAAAATAGTCCAACCAAGAATTTACATAGCGCGCGCGATATTAAGAAGTTTCCCTCTCTTATTTATGGTCTCTGGGTTTTTATCCTCTTCACAGGCGAMCACTTGAGGCGAAGAAAGAGGCTGATGGTTTTTTTGGACTTCGTAAAGTTGCATAAGACATTGATGAACAACGACGATTTTTAATCTAAGGTAAGAAAAGCTATAGTAATGACAAACTATTGCTGGAGCAGATTTCGTATCACTGTGAAGCAGTACGGCAGTAACGACACTCTTTGAACCAATCATAGTGCGAGWGATTACTAGCTGCTCAGCYAATGAAAATGCTCGGACAMGGTAACGGCAAGGTACTTCCGTCACGTAAATTTTCCACAGTCACGCGTTATTTGCTYTTATACTTACAAGTCTTCTCGCGCGTAATCCATTCCACCAACTGCGGCTGTAGGGACCACGAATAACAATGGTGTGACTWTAAAAGCAAAATAGAAACGTATTAGAACTGTGTGAATTGATGGTTTTCACAGCCGTCATATTGGATGAATTTAACACCGGAAAGTTTTATCATTAGTCTCTTTTGTTATATCAAACAACATGGCTGCCGTGTGTTTTGTTTTCACTTTATTCTCCTGTGAATGATTGAAAACCAGCAATAAATCTTAAAACCAGGTTTATTGCTCGTGTAAAGGATATTTCAAAGTCTGTGCCGCTTTTGAAGATCGGATATCTGATCTGTTTGGTTCAGTCTTTGTCTGAAAGGGTAGAATATAAACGATTGTAACAGGCCCTTTTTCGAATTCGCAATATWYCTCTGTGTTYCTTGATTACAGRCTCATTTAMTCATGGTTAGCCTCGTATGATTGTCTAAATATTCACAAATACCAACAGTAAAGTAAAGAGTGCACAACTTCAACAATACAATCCCTTTTAAATTCCACGGACCTTCACTGGAACACATGAATAATCTACACAAAATAGAGGCTAACACTGAGCAATCTGTAGTGGACGTTTAGTAGATCTTACCCCATCCTAACACCTTGTAGAATTTTATACGACTGGATGTTACAAAGACTTGAACCAAGCCACGGTGGAGGTTGATACCTTCAATGAGCATCCMGAAAAACACGGCCATCAGGAAGTAGTGAAGTAAGAAGGCCACTCCGAAACACACTTCCTGAAATTGTACAAGGAAATGAGTGGATTTTCGTGGGGATCTAAGAATACTGGAATCATCTTTATTTATCATCGTCTTCATCAACACCGTCATTATTCATTATCATCACATCAGCATAAACATAATTGTCGCAATAAACATCATCAAGCAACTAGCTTCATCACAATTTTTCCCATCGACGGCGTCGTCGTCACTATCATCATTGTCATCACCACCACCATCATTTAGTGTCATCACCACCACCATCATTGTCATSACCACCAGGATCATTATTAAACATTGTCAGCCTCATTGTCATCATCGTCGTCATTCACACCATCAAGCAACATAATCACAGTTATCGTCATCAATGTCATCGTCATCACCATCGTTATCAACGTTATCATCATAACATCACTATTATCATCATAATCATCATTGCCATCGTCACTTACCGTCATTAACATGCAATATCAGAATATCGTCATCAATGTCATATCATCATCATCATCGTCTTATCATCATCATCATTACATAACATTATTATCAATATCCTCAAGATCATCTACATAATCATGATTTCTTGTCATCATTTTTACCTTTAAATCAACGGCAACGTAAGCAGCAAGGAAGAAAACTAGAGCAAAAATCTCTGCTATCGCGAGGTTCTTGTGTATGGCAACTGTTTCTGTTTTTCTCCTACAGCCCAAATTAATAAACAAAAAATAATAAACTGTTAAGGATACAAGTACTCTGTGCGATGTACCTCACGAGGTCCTCTTCGTTTTGTAGAAAGTACAATTTTAACGCTCTCAGAGAAGCAGTGAAATAGATTGTTAATAGCTTTCTTAGGATCAAGCAGTGTGATCATCCAGCGATTAATGAAGAATCTGACTAACTAAAGATAATCAACAATCTAGCGTATCATGATTGGTTCAACGAATAAGGATTCTGCACCGTGGCCGTGACGCAACACCAGACATCATACAACATGTACAACATTAACTTACGAACCTTCGTCGTTCCGAGACTACCAGATAAAATGCAATGAGTGCTGCTACGAAGCACACAAGAGCAATACAGCAACCAACGATGGAAACGATCAACAATGCAAACTTGTGCTTTTCGGGTATCTGTAAAATAATCAGTACAGATATATTATCGACGGGAAAACATCGAGTGCCTTCGGACACAGAGAGACCTTCTGTGTTTATCTTTGTAAACCTGAGAAGCGAGAATTCACAAGAGAACGAAAAACAAAAAGTGTGCCAGCCATGGTGGAGGATTGAATCAACTCATTCAACATGGCGGCTATGACCTCACAAAGACGCATAGAATGATGTACTAAGGATATTAAGGTGTCGTTTTCTTTAGGRAAATATTTTTACTTAATAAAGGCTTTGCATATCACGTGGTCACAGCCATGACAGGAGGCAGGAACAGTTGAATCTGGTCTAATCTGATTTACATGAGAAAGAATTCAAGTTTTTTTCCGGGAGAAATAGAGGCTCTTTTGTTGTTTCTCCGGTCATGGCTGCCATCACGTGATGTTACTAACAAAGCCTCTATACCCTGTGTAGATCATGCAGTGGAATAAGCCTGAAGCGAGATGACGTTTTACCCCCGACTCTATACCATAATAGTTTTTAAAATTCTTTCATATTAAAATTTTTGATTCCTTAGAGAATACAGGAACATTARTCATAATTAAAGAACAAAAGCAGTGTGAAAAGGATTATGGTCTAGAGACGGGGGTAAAACGTCATCTCGCTTCAGGCTTATTGCAGTAGGCTATTTGCAACAAACAGTCATGTGCTGATATGAGCCAGCCCGTACCGCTCGGAACGAGTTACATGATTGGATTAAAAAACAATAAATTGGTCATCCAAACAATAGCACTAAACCTAACCTTTATAAAATCGGTACTGTACTTAGGGAGCAATGAAAATGCAGCTTTCGAGCGGTACTGGATTACTCGCTGATATATGACTTTGATAACGAATCAATTCAGCTCAAGGTCCCTTTGGGAAGGCTCTGCTGGATGGCAAACGAACTTTAAACTGCTTCGTATCTTGAAATCGAAAGTATCTTATAAGGGGAAAAGTATTTTTGAAAAAGGTTTTGGATACGACATTAGTAATACAACAAAATATTTTTAAATAAAGGAACTCAAAATTTTTTGCCATCCAATAACAATCACGTGTCAATCGATTGCCTATTGTAGGACAACACATCTATTAATCATCGAGGCAGACTTTCAGGTTGACTTTAACACTGACTCCTAATGCTGCTAAGGTTTCTAATGAAGACATTTCTTCTGGCGTCCATGAAAAATATTTTTGAGGGTGTACGTACGTCATCACGTGTGTACTTACGTCATCATGTGTGTACGTACGTCATCATGTGTGTACTTACGTCATCATGTGTGTACTTACGTCATCATGTGTGTACTTACGTCATCATGTGTGTACGTACGTTATCATGTGTATACTTACGTCATCATGTGTGCCATGGACATCCAGAAGAACAGCAAAGCTTGTTAAATGTGAACAATGGCAAACAGTGAAGGTTGTGTTTGAACTGAAGACACGACATCCTTTTGTGGACCATTTTAAAGCACTGAAACAACATTGGACAAGAGATAAGAACAGTCATGTATCATTCAAGATGGGTCTCAATCAGCTGATAAAAGTCTTTTGTGTCTCATTATCTGTTCCAAATGGTGGTCAAACACTGACCAATATGTGCTGTCGACCAGAATGAATTTCATTGACAACTTGTGTTTCAGCTGATAAACATTCCACACGAGACAGGAAATGACGTCAAGTAAAATCAAGTAATTGTTTGGTATCAATAAGCTGCGGAGTGAATCTCATGAATCTCATTACCAGCCTTCACTGAGGGCAAACATCTATACACATTCCTATTGAAAACTTGCCATTCAGCTGGTAAGAATTGATAGCGACCTATAGCAGCGAGGACGTAATTATGTATTGTTGATTACCTGACGTCGATGAAGGCACAACTTGAATTTTCACCAGCTTGCAATGGCTAGAAATGAATATCATTATTCACTTTAGTTTTAAGTTGCTATGGTGATGTGCATTGCACCCTTAGGTTACTATGGTGATATTTTCTCGTATTGCTTATAAGGCTAAATCTTTTGATTTTGGTGTCCACTGGAGAAAGGAGACAAAAGACTGTGATCCCTAGCACCACTGTCACTCTACCTCCATGTTTACAGCCTCGCGTAAGGTAGGATGGCCCTACTAGAGGGGTACCTTTTATGCTTGCTGTCCCCGTCCCTAGCAACACTGTCACTCTACCTCCATGTAAACGGGCACTTGTCTTAATACTATTCCTACTATGTCAACTATGTGGTATTATTTATCTGTGTAGTGTAAGTATACTTAGTGCGCAAGGCTCGAGGTACCTTTCCGTGTGGTAGAGATATAACCACAGGGTCTTTTAGGTTATCCATTACTCCAGGGGGCACGTCAACCTTAGTAGAAATTATTCCAGAATTCAGAATGCTGAAAACAAAAGATGATAAAAAAGATTGTTAATAGATGATCAGAAAACCTCTGACCTTTCAGTTTACAAGGTTATCAAGTCTGTTAACATTATATGAAATTTAACTATTGATTGACTTATTATTTATTTGGGTATGTCCTCTTTTTACCACGATTTTCTTCATCTAGCCGTCAAAATGTTGTGGTATCCACAACATATTTTAAAGGCTATATGGAGAAAAAAGTTGGTGTATAAAAAGGTGTATAAAAAGCTTTCCCTACTTTTATTTATTTTTAGTCCGACATCAAAGATGTTTAAAGAAGGAAAGATCAGGTATGAAAGGTGAATCAAGAATGACGATACGAGGCACAGCCCAGTATTAATCAAACAACGATGGTAAGCGATAGAAAATTCATTTACTCATTTTTCGTTTTCCCAAGTCCTTTCAAAAATACCGACGTGATTCCGACCGCATCTAAAAACAAAATAAAAAAATGTCATCAAGCACATGAAATAAGACTCTGCAGTTCCAGGCATCCATCGTAATGAGATAGCATTGTCATTTCGCGTACCAGAATTATTTTCGGTCTTCTTGGCGATATTAAAGACAGAGTTTGGCAGCATAATGTTTCCATCAAGGCTGTCGTCTGATGGAAATTTCAGTGAAGAGGCCCCATTGGTAGGAACAACCGCTACCACAGCCACTGGAAAAAAAAAAGATTTCAAACATTTAGCGCAAATATCTATATTTTGTTTTTATAGCTCTAGGCTTTTCAAGTCAAAGGCTTGCAAAAGTACGTATTTTTACCACACTGATGCAAAAAAAATTGTAAATATTTTTCCTTTGTTGTTCTTGTTAGATTATCTCGTAAGGTTCGTCGAATTGATGTTTTTGGAAGTTTACTTGGCTTTTCCCGCCAATTTAGACGCAATTCCGCGCGCGTGCACAAATTATAATTCAAACCACCAAGCCAGTTTTTTTGGTGGCGTTAAAGAATCCTAAGTATTCTCTCGCAATAGGCCCTTTGCAACTCATTAATCACGTCCTGATTAATTCACTGAGAGCAAATGAATGAACATCTTGATTCATGAGTGAAATATACTGGTGAGCAAACAAACTTTCTACAACCTGTTTCGAGAGATCGCAATAAAACTGCATTTCGTAATGCACTGGTCACACATCGTTTCATTCAGTTCTTTACGATTTAAAATAGAATAAAAAAATTTGCTAGTACAGACACGTTACCGTTAAAACTGCAAAGGGCCTATTATATGCCAACCAAGAGAATGTTACTGAATATTCTCTTGATACCAACCTAATTGTGTCGAGTTCCTTAACGAAACGGACTTCGTTTCATTGACATTACCATCCTTCTTGATACGGTTAATAGATTCTTTTCCTTCTCTTTCAATTTCTTTCACGAGATCTAAAATCTCTTCAATCTTCTGCAAAGCAATCATTTTTCATATATGATGGGCATGTTGCATATTTTGAGCTTAAACAGTTTTGGATATGAAGAGTTGTTTGTAAACACATATTTTAGGCAGCGTTTTATTATATGCTTCTCTGAAGTTATGCGGTCAAATGTCACTCAAGAACCAAGGGCGGATCCAGAGGAGGGGTCCAGTGGGTCCGCACCCCCCCCTCCCTTTACAAATTTCTTTTTTGCCCTTTTTTAACAAACGGTATATTACAGAGAATCTTTACTCTATGATATCATAAGCCAGTTCTATTAAAAGTCATGACTCATATGTATGTTTAAAAATTGAAAGTCAAATCATTCACCACCCCMCCACCCCHCCCCCCCCCCTTCCAAAAAAACAACAACAACCTGGATCGCCCTCGAGAGGTTCATAAAATTTTAAGTTAAACAATAAATATAAATGAAAAAACTTCTTACCATATTCGGCTTGATTATGTCTTCTAAAAATTCAAAAATAATTGTTACTCTATTTGATCATATTACATGAAGCATACTTGAATTTACTTCGTTGTCAAGATACCAGAATCATTCAACAATAACACTGATATGATTCCAGTAATTCTTTGAACTAGGGCGAAAGCATATTTGAATTTACTTCGTTGTCAAGATACCAGAATCATTCAACAATAACACTGATATGATTCTAGTCATTCTTTGAACAAGGGTGAAAGCATGTGATACTTGAATTTACTTGTTGTCAAGATACCAGAATCATTCAACAATGACACTGATATGATTCCAGTAATTCTTTGATCCATAGTAAACCCATAATCGAATAAGGCCTAAACTCCCTTGCAAACATTTCTTCCACAATTATTGCCCAAAATGACCTGTTGAATCTGGCTTAACAGTTCAAGCCTGTAAGCCTCTACCGGTGGCAAGTCAAATCTTGTTGACTCTGTAATTTTCCTACTACTATTCGGAATGCTAATTAGCATAGTGGTAAGGATCTCGAATCTAGTGTTACAATACAATCAACATTTCTTTTTACTGGGTTGCCTGTGGCAGCCATTCGTAAAATGCCAGGTTTTTTTTTCTTTTCTTTTCTTTTCTTTTTTTTTTTTTGTAGTCTCCTCAGGAATGTTGCATTCTTGCGCAAGAGTACCCATATATGGATTTGAATGACGTGTTCATTAGTAAGTTAGACGTTAGTCGTTGTCAGTGTAGTTTTAGTTGGAGCCTATTAAAACTAAGTGACGTCAGTAACGCAACGCTGTTTTCTCCGGTTAAAAAAACGCATCTGCATAGTTTTGCTAATTGAGTGTCATTCCACTTTACTGGTTAAAAGATATACAAAGGCGGTACATTTTTATTTAAAAAAAAAAACACATTTAAAAGGTGTAAACTTTTGAATAAATTTGATGTGAGAAAATATAAGTGATTGCAAGTTCTGAAAGAAAAATACACCTAAAATGTTCCAAAGTAAGATTAGGTGTTTAATGAGCTCCAGCATACCAGCATATTGGGCAACCCAGTGCACGCTCCAAGAGCGTCTTGTTGTGCTAAATAGTCAAGGCACCAAGGGAAAATTACTAGTAATTTCCCGCTGGTCATACTCATTTCTTGATACGTTGAGCTTTTTTAAAAGCCCTTGTTTTGAGCGTTTTTTACGAATTTTTCTTGCTTTACACGTTTTAATCAGATTTTCCTAGCTTTTTCTGCCTTTATTTGCTTTAACAGTCTTTTAACCGTTTTGGTTTTTCAATTTATTCCAACGTTAAACCAAGCAAGAAAAGGCATGTAAAAGTACCTATGGAAAAAAGCAACGGGCACTGGAAATGACAGCCGAAAATATAGTCCCTTTTACTCGCTAGGCTCACCTGAGGGCCTTGAATTATTCGTTGGTGAAGATGAAGGCTGCCCTATCGAAGTGGTTGCGATCAATGGTGTTCTAGTTGTTGTACCTAAAAGAACCAAAGTCATTTATTAGTTTGCATAGAGCTTTGCAGTTCATTTGTTCTTTCTGCCTTTATTTTCTTTGACGCCGTTAAACCAAGAAGTAAGTACAATAGTCCCTTTTAGTGCAGTTTTCGTATGATTGTGAAAAGGTCAGTGCCGTGACCGTGACCGTGATTGTTTTCTGTTATTTTAATTGGCTGATTTTTTTCTCGCGCAATGTGATTGGTCTGAAAGTGCCGTGACTTTGGCGTGACCGTGTCCGCGCCGTGTTTATGCCGTGTTCTGGG